TAAAAATTATTGTGGTGTATGATGGACAATTTCTGTAATTTTCTGTGTTGTAACACAAAAGTTTTCAACTTGTGTTTTCTTTGGTATGTGGTTAATATTTTAAATTTGCTATTTAAGTTTTGTTTTAAAAATCTATTAAATCAGTTTTTTTTCAATATCGACTAAACGACATCTACAGATTGACCTCGCAAAATTATCATCGATTTTCATTCCCCAGCCGTCTTTGACAGCTTTTTTTCGATCATGCGTTATATCATTAATACACATTTCTGAAACCCCTCATCCATATGTATAATATATTACATTCCAAATATACAACACTTGCCAGGTCTTAATGAAAAATTATCGCCAAACCTTCTAAACACACGGGAATTTTAGTATTATTAATTATTCCTAATTTTCCTAAAACTTCGGTTGAATAATACTCCGGTAACGTCGACTATAAATTACATCAGTACGTTTGCTAATTGTGTATAATTTCTCCGAGTAGGAACGTGTGACGTTATCCCTAATTTGCCCTGAATTATGATAGCAATTGTGAAATTAGATATGAGCAGTCGTATACCTGGGTCCTGGTGCAGTTTTGAAAGGGACAATCTGCACGAAGACTGTAATTTAGCTTTATATTCTCGGTTGTATTTATTGCGAAATGGATTTTAATTCATCATTATGATTGATTGTTACGATTAAAAATGTTTTGATGCATTTTATAAACCTTTTTTTACTAATTCTTTAGATTGTTTTTAAATAAGTTTTAAAGAGCGTACACACTATGCCAGAAACAATTCGAAACATGTCAAGGTCGCATTTCGTCGCTTAATTTTGAATGCATTTCGATTATTTATTTCCAGTTGTATTGGCCACACTTGGCCCACTTCGGTTTGCCTCGACCTACTTCCGATTCTTAAAAGCGCCTGAAAACTACTCGTGAGGAGAGCGAGGGGGGATTTTTTTTGTTGCGTTTGGCGTTTTTTGTTGCCTCGTTCAATTTTGTTTTGTTTTGAGCTATTTTCAAAACGTGGTGGTATTTCTACCGGAGGCAAAGGATTTTTTTTCATAAATCTCAGTGAAATAAGTAAACCTAGACGTTTCTAAAATTGCTGTTGCTACGATGATATTTCGTTAATTACATCGATGTACTTAAACTGCCGTTAAACGGTAGCCTACTGAAATGCCGTTAATAGGTATGACGTCGTTGATGTGACGCACGGATTTTTAATGCTTTGGTTAAAATGCCGTCGAACGGTCGCGTACTAAAATGCCGTTAATCGTTAATGCAGAGTAGGCTACTGATTAATACTTAATAATTTGTAATGTAATGTCCAAAATCCGTCATGGCTTATTCTGAATAAAATTAACTTGGAACGGTGTATATGTAGGTAGACGTATATGTTGCCGTTGTAGGTTTGAAAATGTATTTGTGATAAAATGTAATATATGGCATTGGTTTTCAGGTTTTTATTGCAAATTATAAACTGACAACTTAAAAATAACACAACGTCAACTTAAAAATAATAATGCTACAGATAGCATTCTCTGCAAAACCACAGATTTGATTTAGGTCGCTTAGTCAATCCTGCACAACGGATATGTCTCCATAGAAGGTGCAACTCACTGCAACAAAGTATATATGATTTTTCTGCGGCCACTGCACACAGAACAAACCAACTTTGTTGAAGCGTCGTTTCTGCTCAACTAGATTGGTTATTTTTTCAAAGGCTTTCTCGGTGCAAAAACTTCTAAAAATCGTAATTTACATTATTAGTTATTAATTTGGTAATTATTAGGTATCGCTAGACTTACCTTATCATGTGGATATCAACAGCCTCATCAAGAACGGCATGTGATATTTCTTCGGGGAGCATTTTAAGGTCTACAGTTTCAAGAAATTTCCCATTTGTGATGTCTCTAGCGATGTTACGATCCTTAACGAAGCAATTCAGGATTACATTTTGTTTTTCATGATAGGATTGTTTTGCAAATGCTACAGTACATCTTTTCCTATTTACAGTACATCGTAGTCCTATGACTGTTAAGTCCTGTCCTTTTGGACGTCCTTTATGAGAAAAACAGGTAATCCTATTTTTAAGTAATTTTATATGTAGCATCTTACTGCAAGAAATTCTGGAAAAGCCTTTATTGTACTTTTCATGGTGGGACTTTGAATGAAAAGTCCTCTGAAATTATTGTCTTCGTCTCGCAAAACAGCTACATTGGCACCTGAAAACAGAGTAGTTATGGGGACTAATAAGACGATAATAGAATATTTTAGTTTACCGTATTTATTTTTAAGTAAGGGTTTAAGCAGCCATCTAAGTTTTCTTTTCTTGATTGATCACACCCTGGGCGATTTTTAAAAAAATTTCAAAATATGTAAAAAACAAAATACATTATGCTTGTCCGCTGCTGCTTCTTTTCCTGAAAGACTAACTGTTTAAATAACAAATATTGTAATATTTGAGGGGCGTTTTCACCCCTCTTGGAATTTGGAGATTCCAGAAACCCCTCCTTATCGAACCTCTACACCCCACAGTCAATCTGTTTGCCAAAAATCAGCTTTAAACGTCAAGCAGTTTAAGCAGAATCGTGATTACCTCAATGGTCAATCATATTTTATGAAACACCCTGTATAAAATTATATTATTATATTATGTAAAAATCTTAAAACATGTAAAAAACAACAAAATAAATATACGTGTTTAAGAGTTTTTTCCGAAAAACTCTCAAGAATAAAAATATTTTAATATTTGAGGGATAGTTTCACCCCCCCTTAAAATTCGAGTCTCGAAAAATCCTCCTTCTTATCGAGAACCTTTACACCCTAAAGTCAATCTGTTTTCCAAAAATCAGCTTTTACGTCAAGCACTTTAAGCAGGATCGTGATTAATCAATTACCAGAGTAATACGTAACTGAACGAAGTACAATGGT